CCCGATATAGTCCTTTATACAAGCAAATTATAGTTATAACATGATTGTATTAACAACATATGTAAAAACTTGAAATTAATAAAGTATAAAGGACAAGGCCCAGCTAGTGTTTAAAAAAAAGAAGTCTTCAAGCATAAAGTTTCAAGAAATACTCTCCTGGAAGTGCCCTTAAACATTCTTGGACATTGACTACTCCATTGGAAATTAAACAGTTTAACTGGCTGCAGGTGATGAAAAGTGGGAATCCATGAAAGGCTTGGGTTTTAAGTTCACTGAGATAGCTTTTTCAATGATAGTTAGAATAGATAATAGCTTTTTTTTTCTTTTCTCTTTATCAAAAAAATTCATTTTTTATTCCTTTTTCCCTTGTGTAGTTTCTACAAGAGGGAGATGACACAATTTGGATTTATGATTGTGACTGTGGAGATGATCTGCAGGTGCTGATCCTATCAGAAATTCAGGATTTTAATCCCATTCTTTAGAGGAACAATATATCATCCCCATAAATTGCATCTAGAGACTTCGGCTAAAGACAGATGAGTTGGGTCAGGGAAATTTGTACTTTGCATATATTCTCGTGCGTGTAATAGTTCTCTATAATTTAATAAATAAATGATACCAATCTGATTGCAGGATTAAAAAAAATAAAATAAAATAAAATTATGAAGTATATATATTGTTTATATTATTTTATATTTTCTTTATATTAATTAAATACATATATTTACAGAAGTTAAGTCTTATATAGATATAGATATTTTTATATTTATTTATTTATTTATTTTTATATTATATAAAGTCAACATACATGTATATAAAAAAATAACCTTTTGACTTTAATAAAGTCTTAACTTTGTTAACATTAAAACAATAATTACTCCAGTTTACTGTCTTTTGAAATTACTAATAATTTTATTAAGACTTTTATACTTTGATTAATTAGTTCTTGATGAATGTTCTAAAGAAATTCCAATCTCTGTACTTAATTTTTGTAAAGATACCTTTTAAAATTATTCTGAAAAAATTAGTAGGATTAGCTTTAATTTTAAGAAAAAATTTTAACTATGACTTTAGAAATTTTATTACATTTGTTAAATTTTTTACATGGTTTTAATATTTTTTTTTACTTATCATAAGTGTGTTATTACAGATATTATTTTTGCTAATAAATAAATTAATTTGTACTGATTCTAATATCTTATTGATTTTATCTGTCCAACAATTAGAAAGAGATTCCAAGATTTTTATTGATTGAATGAAAAAGGAGTAATTATTAATTTTTATATTAAGATTAAGATTAACTAAAGTATTTGTATTCATAAATATTTGTGATACTGTACTAGATTTGTTTGATAAGTATATGATATTGGATATATATAAACTGAAATAATTGTTTATATATTTAAGGGGTATTGCATATGGATTGAATTGATCATACTTATACTTAGGAGTGGTTGTATAAAATGTTTCATTATCAGAATTAAGTTGTATACTATTGTTAGCAATTATTTTCTTAGTTGATGCAAATGTATTTGAAGAGAATATAAGGGTTTTAGTTTTTCATTTCAAAGTAAAAATAATTTTTTGTTTATTGATATTAATATTAATTTGTTTCAAAAAATATGCAAACTATAATTGAGATTTTATTTAAGGGGCTTCTTTATAATATTTTTTTGCCCATATCCAATAATTTAAAGTATATTGATATTCAAAAAAAAAGTTGATAGCTTTCAATAATATAGAATTAAAAAGAAATAACTTTACTTCTATATAGTGATTACTGAATTTCTTTTTGCAAACTTCAAAGAAAACTGAAATAACTTTCAAGTATTTATATTTATTTTCTTGAAAGTGGATAGATATGAATCAAGCTTTGAATAGATTTTTAAATTTTGATAATTGAGTATATATAATTGAAACAGTAGTATACTAGTTGAAATCTGATTATTTAGCATATAATAAAAAAATTTATCAAACATTTATTAACAATTCAATAATTATTGCTGAATTGGATATGCTGAATTATTGCTAAAAGTTTGACAAATGCTTAATGAATTATTTATTATATGCTGAATAATTGACAAGTGGCATATTGCTGAATAATTTGATTTCAACTAGTGATATAAACTATATTGAGATTGTTATTTTTATGAATAATTATAACAAGATATTTGTTAATATTGATAATCAAAAAATCAAGTAATATATATATAAGTTCTATAAATTGGCTCTTGAAGGATGTGAATGATTTTTTAAGATTTATTGCTGTTTTTTTAAGAAAAAATTTTGTATTTCCTTATTTGATAATTTTTTTTTATATGTAATATTTGGAAAAAATGTTTTTTCGATTTTTTTAATATATTATATATCTATTAATATTTAAGATTTAATATTTAATATTTAATATTTATTGTTTCTTTTATTATTGTTATTATATATATATATTAGTTTCAATAAAATATTTTAAAATATTATATAAATTAAATTTTTATAATATTATATTTTATATTATTGTTATTATTTTATTTATTTATTTATATTGAAAAAATTATATAATTAAGAATTTGTATTTATTTTAATAAAGTTTTAATTGAGTTTTTTTTTAATTATATATATATATATATTATTTTGATACTTTTTTTATAATAAAAATTTTATTTATTGTTTAAATAATTAAAATAGTTAAACTTTAACAAAAAGCTTATAAATTTTATTTTAATAAAACAAATGTAACAAAACTATTTTTTCAATTGAAATTCTTGTATCTTGTAATTTAATTAAAAAATGTTTTTTTTTTATAAAAAGATATAGTTTTTATAATTCAGATTATTTATTAGTTTATAATTTTTGATATATTATTCAAAGATAAAATTTTTACAAGTTAAAAATTTTTTAAAATATATATATATATATATTTGAATCTTAAAAAAAGATAAAACATATTATAAATTAATATTATTAATAGAAATATCATATTTAAATAATATAGATATAATATTTATTGATTATATACTAATTGAACAAAAGTATTATATATCTTAAATTTATCATTATATAAAAATAGATATAATAATTTTTTTAAAATGTTAATATATTATTTATTATATTTAATATATATATATTTGTAATTTATATATTTTTAAATAAATATTTATCAAATTCAATACAAATAAATCAATGCTTTTTTTGATCTTTTAATTTTTTTAAAAAACAATATATTTTTTAAAATCAAAAATATTAAATCTTATGTTTAATTTGATAGATGTTTATTAAAAAATATAAAAGTTATAAATAGATTTTTATGAAATATAAATAATGACATTAAAATTTCCAATAAAATTATTAAGCAAATAATAAATTTAAAATCCGGGATAAAATATATTTTAAATATGATAATTTTATTGATTAAAATTTTTAAAATCGATTTTTATGAATTGAAATTACAAAATAATTTTTGATGGTATTATTTAAATATCAGAGCAATAAATATTAATGTTTTTTCATATCATGACAAACTCACCCATAAAACAAATACAGCATGAATTTATGAATAAAATTCGTAACCGATTTTTTCAAACATAATTTCATTGAAAAATACAACTTTACATTTTATGATGTAAAAACAATTATTGACGTTTTTTATGTTTTTTTTATGTTATTTTATATCGGGAAAAAGAATTATTTTTTTAAATACTGTATTTTAATAAATGGTAAATCAATATGATGAATTTTTACAACGCATTGTACATACCGTATATATCTTGAATAATAACGTTGATATTCATATATGCTTATCGTTTTAACATTCGTATTTTAATAGCGAGGCCCCACAAACCGATTTTTCGATACCAATATCACCGCTTACGTACATGAAACGTGCATTTCTCATAATATGAATATATGCGGCATATTCAAAGCATTCTCGCCAAACCAACCATTACAGTAAATGAATATTGATAGAGAAATATAAAAATTTGATCTAATGTTTCCTTACCTTATTGCTCGTTGGTCATATACGTACAGTAATAAGGGAAAAGCCATTTCACCATGCGAGTCAATAATTGATTACGATATAGTAGCACAACGGAGTAATTTGTGTTTCTTTCCCAGGAATCTTCATGTGGATATGATCATGGTCTGATCTACATCCATCTAAAAAAAATATATTTTTAGACTTGGGAATGTCCAAATTAAAACCACAAGAAGCCGTAGTGCTTATTTATAGGAAAAATACTTATTTGGGTAGATCTCTTTGGTGGTGCGATAAAATTTCAATAGAGATTTTGGGGTTCGAAAATTCACTGCCAGGGATTCAACAATTTAACACAATAAACCAACAGAATGGCATTACTATAAACGACGAATATCACACACTCATCTCTCCCATCATTGTCTTTATTTTTAGCTTTTTGACGAAATTGACCTTTGATGACATACAAGCTTCTTTCAACGATTTCGATAATAATTCCATATTAGAGAAGATTAATTTATTTAGGAAATGTCATGACCCTTTATTTGCGTTGCCTGATCCGATTTTAATTATACAGTAGATTGAATCAATTCAAGTCTGGATTTCATAAGGCCAAATAGAATGATTGGAAATTTCATTTGCATCATGAAGCTCAAGTTTTGCTATTGTGATCATTACCAGCGGCGTACATTATATCGTACATGTATTATTCAAATAGAGGGACCGAAAAAAAAACATTTTTGTCGCCCTCAAAAGATAATTGCTCCAAATCAATTTTCAACGAAAATGGTTTCCGGTCGTTATATTTATACAATGTAATACAGTACAGTACTGTATGTTTTTGTGTAATGTTATTTTTACCTTAGTTTTAAACATGTTGGGAATAATACCGAATGCAAAATAATGATCATCTAAATTTAGAGATTCGAGACAAGGAGCGCAGATTAGAAAAGATTTATAAAGGAAAGGTAAATTTTTGAGTTTGAAAATTAATTCCGAATCTACGGAGTTAAATTACAACATTGAAATCATGGATCAAAGACGTTTTCCCGCCTTGGTAGTAATTTTCCTGGCAATTACTATTTCTGTAACGTATTCATTCCCAAGCGGAAATTTTAGGAAAAGAGACGATGCGTGTGCTAATCTAAAACAAGCATACCTGAATGTTCATAATTCAACGGAAGAATTTGATGTCAAGTATACCGACGTAAAAAATTGCTATGAAACTTTTCCTTATAATTATACCAGGGCTTCAGAAGTAATAAAGATCCTGTGATTATACAGAATTTTGCACGCGTAAATAACTTCTAAAAATTCTCAATTTTACACCGTAGATAATACATATATTCAGAGGATTGTATGAAAATTTCTATGTATTTTTGGATCAAGCCAAGGAACAGCCTAATCCCGGTTTTGACTTCAGATCAGTCGACTTGTTGAAGGAATTCGATCTCTTGTTTAAGAAGGATTATCACACGGACTTTGAATTTATGGTTAGTGTTAACTGTAGTTTTTTCGGAATTTAAGGGTGCATCATTCGTGACGCATAGTTTAATTAATTAATAAATGACAGAGCGCCGTGTTGGATCTTTTAAACGAGCTGAAGGATGCTCACGTTAGTTTTAACCCTCTTTGTTATAACACATTCGTATTCAGACAAGGAATTTATTTAAGCTCAATTATAAAACCAGATGGAACTCAGGTAAGAAGTTAACAGCTATCACTGTAGTATGATGATGTGAAGATAATTCCTTTTATAACTAATTATTGAACTACAGGCAATCCAAGTTTTAAACAATACGCTTAACCTCACGATAAATTCCTGTGAAGTCACTCACATCAACGGCAGATCCGCATTTGATGTGATATTTGAATATGCTAAAACCAAAATTGCAAGTTCACGTGATCTCGGAGTCAGATTTAACAATGCCTTAGCTTCTTTATCGGCTACACGTTTTAAACCTGGCGAGTTTTTTTATCGCTTCACACTTCCCGAAACAGAAATCATTTCTTATGACATTGTGTGTCCAGAGAAAAAGTTACATCTTGACAACCCTTGGAAAATTTCCATTATAAATAATTCTTTCTTTGAACAATTCGATGACGCGAATAGTTACTTTAACAATTTCTGTGCTAATCCCGGAAAGAAAGTCTCAACTGGCAATAGCATAAATCGCCATGAAGAATTCGATGATCATCCAACCGTAAAGAGTTTATTAAATGTGGGATCCATAGCAAGTTTTTTTCAGGTGGATGATATCGGAGTTGTGACCGTTTCTTCATTTAGTGATGACAATCATACAACATCGAGAACCTTTCCGGAAATTTACAATGGTTTGATTGATGGATTTAACCTATTGGCCCAAGCTAATGTTAAAAAGGTAATTTACGATTGTATTATGAATTCTTTAGGAATGGACGATGTAACTAACGATAAGTTTTTTTTTTTTTTTTTGCTACTTCAGTTAGTCCTTGATTTCACAAATAATCCGGGCGGAACTATAGAATTCTCAACGTTTCTCAACACTCTTCTACTTTATAAAAAAGACATTAACACATTTCCTGGTGATTACCGGGTGTCGGAAATTGCAAAACTTGCAATTGACAAAAGTACATCCGAAAATATCGTAACAGACTTCGATGCTCGAATTAAAAGCAACATTGCAGGGTATTTTTTTAACACTTCGGAGGAATTTCTTGGTAATAATAATTATGAACGTGGAGGTAGTAAGGTTAGGTTTACGAACAAATTCTTCAACGGAATCTCTAATTATACTCTGGCGAGTATTAATAATATTACAAAGCTTCCGTGGGAACCATATGATATGGTTATCTTGACGAATGGAAATTGTGGGTCATCGTGTGCTCTTACCACGGTATTTTTGTCTGAAATAGGTCAAGTTTCCACTGTATCTGTTGGAGGTATGTAAATTATTATGTGTGACACGTTGTCTATACTGCAGGCATTTTTTTATGTTGTGTTAACAAATCTCTTGCAATAGGCTTTTATGGTAAACCACTTTCATTTGCTTCATTTGTCGGCGGACAAGTCATACCATCAGACACCCTCGTTACGGAATTAATATCATTGGGATTAAACAGCACCACAGATCCTAGTTTATATAACGTAAAACTATTACAATTGTATGGTGCGCAATTCCCGCTGAAAGAAGTATATAGTCTAGTTAAGCCCGATGAAGTGTTGGAGTTTCAGTTCAGACCCGCTCAGCATAGGTTGTATTATGATGAAGAGAACTCTAAGAATATCACTAAATTGTGGCATCAGGCTGTCTCTTTTATTAATTAATCCTATTTTGTTAGAATTCAATTATTTATTTTGTACATATTTACAGTACGAACATTGTATACATTACACTGTAGCGATGATAAACAATGTTTATATCGCGTCGAGAAGATTTGCATTTCTTTTCAAAGCTATCGATTTAGTCATAAATTAAGTGTTGGTTATTAAATATTAAATATTAATATCCATTATTATCGAGTCAGAAAAGATTGTGGCTAGTGTTGTGAAATAATTGGTTACAACATGTAGTCAGGATAACGCAATACTATTGCATATAAATACGAGTAAAATCCGATTGTTTAAAAGATGGTTGCTTCGAGAACACTTTTTCTGTTATAACACTCATTAAATAAATGCTACTTTAACTTTGCGCGATAAACGTTTTTTCCTCCATAAAAGCATACAACCAAAAGTATAAGCGAAGGATTGGTGCCGCTATAATAAAGTAGAAGACTATAAGTAAGAGACCGTCGTTACCTTTTGTTCCGCGAAGAGAGAGACACTTGCGATCTTGAGATGCGCCTAGAGGGACGATCAAGAACAGATTGTAGCACGCCTCAGAGTTAAAGCCTTGCCTTATTTTGGTGCCGAAATCCAAGCAGTTGGATTGTTGTCACGCAGCACTAGATCCTGCATATTGTAATACAGTATCGTACACATTTTCAAAATAATGAATTACGTAAATCCATTATTGAAGATTTATTGTTTTTAAAAAATTTCAAGTGAATTAAAAAAAAAAAAAAAATTATAATAATATTACTCTTGGGTCCTATTGTGGCATTTATGTATGTTAGTTACCAATAAAGAATTTTGATATTATTTTTAAATTATAGTTTCAAAAATATATAAGTGTGCTAATTATAGTATGGTACAAACCTTTTGAAAATCATCTATTATTTAATGGTTAAAACCATCACATTAAATACTCTGTTTTATTTTTGAATTTTTTAGTACAGTATGGATAAAAATCAATTACAATGCAGTACATCAAAATTTTTATGATTTCATAAATCAAAGTTCAATTAATTTAAAAGATTTTTTTTTTTTTGATTTTAAATTATGGGAATTTTTGTTTAAATTAATCTAATAGATATTTAATCAGTTAATTAATTATTTGATTCGCCGATCCAAATAACGCAGTACAACTTTAAGAGCCTCACTTATATTGTAAATATTATGACAACGAAAGACGCCTCAGTTGATAAACTGTCCAAACACCTCGAGTATCACATTCTCATCTGATGAATTATACAAAAAGCCACAAGAAACGTTGAATTATAAATTCGTAAAAAGCATTTTAATATTTTTGAAATTATTGAACATAAAAGATGAATAGCGCATATCTTCTCTTTCTCCTATTACACTTCTCGGCGCTCTCGTTTGCCTTGTCAATTCAGGATGATTTTGCATCCGACAAAAAAATTGTCAGAATGCAAATTAAACACAGACACAAGCGTGGCAGCATATACGTGAAATCTCGAAAACTCACAATTGACACTGATGTATTGAACTTCTTATGCATACCATTTACGATAATCGACAGTTGAACAAACCTTTGATCTATTCATTTCATCTCTGAAATTTATAAAAGTATCTAGCCAGTGTCGAAGTTGGTACTCCCGGGCAGTCTTTAAATTTTTTAATCGATTCCGGATCGCCGGAAATGTGGATGACCTCATCTTTATGTGATTCATCTTGCAGCACAAGTGACGCTTATTTCGATCCTTCCAAATCTTCTACTTTTCTTTCTAACAATACGGAATGGATTATGACTTATGCGGGTGGGCAAAGCGTTAGCGGAATATTTGGCAAAGATGTTGTCAATATTGGTGGGATCCACGTGATAGATCAGACAATTGGTTTGCTTGTAAACTCGGACATAGATCTGACTTTCGATGGAATCATGGGGGTTGGACGTAGCGTGTGAGTAGTATTTTTGTGGTGAAATAAAACAATATCTTCGATTTTTGTTTTTTCCTAACAAAATTAATTGGTTTCTTCAATTAATAGCGATTCAGATTACGGCACACTTGTGAGTATACTGTATATCAATATATCTGCGCACGTACAGTATATTTAAAAAATTTAATTTTAACTTAATCTACTTCTTTACTGGCTCTTAAGACACCGTTTGATAATATGATTGCACAACAATTGGTATCATCGAGAATTGATCATTTATCATATAAGCTTGACTACATAAGTTATTAAGGTGATTCTTTATTTAGATTTCCGAGCCGCTATATACGGCAAGGTTTGTAAAAGTTCCGGATGACGATAATGGTGGGGAGTTCATATTCGGGGCCATCGATTATTCTAAAGTTTTGGGTAAATAAATAACCTCAATGTGTTAACAATACTACGCAACAGTTGTAAGAAACTTACTATTTCAAATAGGCGATATTACCTACTCACCAATAACCGAGAATAATCACTGGCAAATAAATTGTTCGGGTTTATATCTAGGCCAAGAGTCTTTGACTCCAGGCGACAACTACACGTCCTTCTGTGCCTTAGACACTGGAAGCCCCGGTCTTCTTTTGTATTCTCATCTGGCCGATGCAATTCACTCCAGAATACCCGGAGCAGGCTATTATGATACAGACGAAACGCGGGATGGCTCAGCTGTAATATATACGGTTCCTTGTGATACCGACAATAGTTTAGGACCTTTAGTCTATGAGATAGAAAGCAGGAAATTCAGTATACCGATCTCGGATATTGTCGGCGACCCGATTGAAGGAGATGAAGATAATTGCCTAAGTTCAATTGGTGGAAATTCTGATCCTGGCACGGCTTGGATTTTGGGAAGTCTATTTATGGAGGTATAAAGAGACTTTCCAATAAGGTTTCGGGATGTCTATGTCTCATATGATGATTCTTGTTTATATATATATATATTTTTTTTGCAGCGCTACTTAATAATATACAATCAAGGAACGGAGCCACCAACGGTCGGAATTGCTTATAGAACAGACGTTGACTATAACTGGTGATGTTTGAAAGTTTATTTATGAAAACTGAGCAAGATGCGGCGTATAACTATGAAGCAAAATAAATGTTTGGATGTTTGAAACAAACACAAAAGTATTCAACATAAAATATATTCACACAGTAACCATAATGAAACTTTCGGAATCTGGTATGCAAAAATTATGTGAAAAAATATTTGCAACTGTAACTGTCTCTTATAATATATCATTTCTATACTAAAAATACTTAAAGTGTCTTAATTTCTTCTTGAGAAATGGCAAAATAACAAAGATATCAAAGTAAAAATGTTATTCTTGATTTAAATCGCTTGTCCTAAATTATTTGGTAATAAAATATTTTTTAAAATAGCTTATAAAATAAAGATACTTAGTAGGCTATTGATAAAGCAAGCATAATAAAATGAAAAAACAATACGTGAATTTATGATCATAAAGTAGATTACTTTCGTTAAGTGATAATTCATTATTCATATAATGTAATATCGGATGTGTATATTTAGCTTTTATCGAATTTGTCACAGTTATTTTAATGTTAGCAATAATAATAAATACTATTGTTTTTCGTCAAAAAATATCTAGCAAGTTAGAAATTATAATCTCAAGTATAAACAAGATTACAAAAAATAATCTTGAATGGATAAATAAGAAAAAACTATTGGTAAAGAGATACTTGGTTGTAATCTGCTGATAAGATTTATTATTAAGTTCTTAGGAATAAATAAATCTTATAATTTTGAAATTAATAAGATCCAGAAAAAAATATAATAATTAATTTGTTTGATTTGATTGCAAATGCAGAGATACTTTATTAATATAAAAGTTTAATCTTATAATTGCAAAAAAAAAATTCAAGACATTTACATATATATTTGAGTTATATGATTTTTATATATAACTCTATGAATATAAACAACATTAATATTAACTGAAATTGATTTTTTGATTTTATTTTCACCAGTTGAAATTGAATTATTAGCAGCATGTCACTCATCAATTATTTGACATATAATAAATAATTTGTAAATAATTTGTAAATAATTTGTTAAGCATTTGATAACAATTTAATATATTCTAATTTGACAATCATTAACAATTATTTATTATATATTAAATAATTAATAAGTGATGTATTGCCAAATAATCTGATTTTAATTAATGTATATCAATAATTTAATTTTAATTAATGTTTATTTTATTTTTTTTTTTTTTTAATCCCGCAATCAGGTTGGTGTCGTTTATTTATTTAATCATAAAGAACCATTACAAGTTGAG